AACAGTTTTTCCCCATGCTTATTATCTTATTACACTGATTTGTAAATATTGATATTGTGTGCAATGTTATATTGTTGATTTTTACCCAATGTTCCTATTGTGTCCAATGATTAGTAGTATGAATTAGTAGCACGATTTTACCCAGCGCAGCGGGTACCCGCAGCTACTAATAAATATAAGGAGGGACAACGAATAGAAAACTGGACAGGAGACAACCACAGGTTATTGAAACCAGAGTTAGATTATGTACGCAAAATACTGGTGACTATAAACACTAACATCTAGAGAACTAGAGGCGGCATTAATAATCTCCTTTTCTCTAGATAAACCCCGCACCTCGTAGAATCGAGTGCCTTGTGAAATACAAGAGAGGGTACCAAGATACAAGATACAAGATACAAGGGTGATACAATTGTATGCACACCTACGAATACTTCTATTACTTACTATTAGTATTACTACAAGTTACATGTTACAATAATTACTAGTAGTAGTAGTACTACTATTAGTACTAGCACTACTGCCACTACTCACTAGTACTAGTACTATAGTTACTACTACTATAGACTACTAGCTGCAAGAAATGGTATTTCTAGGGTTAGAATACCCTATAGGCTTTATTGACGTTAGTGACACGGCCTGGTCGGGTTACTAGACTAAGTACTAGACTAAGTTACTACTATAGTACTAGAGCTACTAGTACTAATACTAATACTATATAGTATAGTACTAGAGCTAGTACTACTACTAGCTGCAAGAAACGGTCTTTGCTAGGGTTAGAAGACCTGTGTAAACACAATTTGTTGTGTAGTCGAGTAAACAACACCGAGCATTCCCAATACGCATAGCGAGCGCTGACGCGTTAACAGAAAAAATAATCGCCAATGCTATGCATATAGCCTCGTTACGCCATCTATCGCACGCCATATGTACTACACTGATGTACACTCATGTACAGTAATGTGAAAAAAATAGTAAAAGTGTTTTTCACAGGAAACAAAGCGCGCCGAATAGCCAAAAATTTTGTACGAGAATTTCTAGCAAATGTCTAGCTACCTGGGTAGTGAAAGCCGTCCTGCAATTGCGACAACTGCTGAACGCACCGATAATAGGGCTTTCGCCTATACCCAAAGGGACCTTGGAAAGGTGTTGGAGTGGGGGCAGCGAAGTTGTGTTAGTTTGCCGCTACGCGGCGTTTTCGCGCTTCGCGCGGATATCCGGGCTGCAGATCGTCAAGTGCGCCCTCCCGCCACCTATTGAGGCTTTGCTAAACCGGTAGTACAGTAATAAAGATATAGCTGTGTAACTTTAATGACATCGCTATATTAACGTTATCATGTATATGCGTAACACTATAGCAAACGGTGTGGGTTACGATAAACAGAAGTTCCTTCCTACATATAAATTCATATTGCAATTTGAAGTACATTAGCATGCAGAAAGAATGTAGACAGGTATTAATTATCACCCTCGTAATATTACCAGAACTTTAACACGCCAATCATTTTTTCCATACTATTAATACATTAACCGCTAAAGAATTGGGATGTTATTATACAAACAAGTGCCGCAGCGCTCAACTGGCGTACGTGTACTGTAGCCAGGTATTCTTCTGATAAACTCACTGGCAACCGAATCCAGATGAGACGGGATACCAGAGAAGTGTTGCCGAAAGAAGATGTTGATCCTATAACTGCTGAGCGGAGATCTTGCGCGCAGTTCCGCGGCAAGGCGCACGCGACCGCGGCAACGTCCTACGACAGTATGCAGCGCTGGCAGCTATGGATCCGTGCTCCGAATCCATAGGTCGGCGCACGGATCCATAGCTGCCAGCGAACAGTCCGCAATTTTAGCGGGGGACACAGAGGGCAGACATTTGGGACGTGGGAGGAATTCGCGACTTACATGGGGGGTCGTACAGATGGGGGGGGGGAGGCGAGAGCAAAGCTTTTGATTTCGCCGTGGTTCCATTTCCGTGTGGTGTTAGGCGTTTTCACTATAAGTTCCAAATATAAAAAGTTCTAAACATAAGAAAAATCGGACCATTATTTAATGCAAAATTTGATCAAATAGTCATAGGAAATAGTACGCGGATAGTGCGCCCAGTTACCTCTTTCAAATCATACGCTGTTTAAGAATTGCCATTCGCTGCATTTCCCTGGAGCTCCGCCCACTTTAAAAAGTGTTAGCATTGTGGCAGTGGTATCGTGAGTGTACGAACGAGTTAGTATTTTGATTTTGGATTTTCGATGACAGCAGTAAGGCGAAAGTGCAGCATTTCAATACAGCTTACTTCATTAGCATTATATATAGTATGTAATCATTTCCTGCGAGGTTCTTTTTGTATATATAAACAATTAAGACATTATCTGCCATCTCTATCATCTATGTGACCTTGCCTTATATCATATGCACCCCTAGTCTGCAAATGCAGACGTTATAACTCCGCTTTGCTAATGTGAGGGTGCGGGTTTATCATCACCCCCCATTACTGCGATCTGTGTCGGTCGACTAATGCACCCCTACCACTACAATCTCCCACTGCCATTGTCATTGTCAGTATCAGGAAGTAGGTAGAGTAAATTGCTTGCTATATAAGCAGGGGTTGTCTAGTATAGGGGTATTGTAACCCTAGCAATACCGTTTCTTGGAACATGGAACATGGAACATTTATATAAATGTAATAGGCTAGCTATCTAATATATATTTGAGTTCGTATGTATGTATCTTCCCTATAGGCGGCCAATCCGCCCAAGCGATCTGGATGCAATTTTCACAGGGCCATCTCTTATACCCGGGGAGTGTTCGTAGCTGAAAAAAACCTGCCAAACCGTCAAACTCACCGAAAAATCCGTGAAAAACCCCTCAATTCGGCAATCTTCACACATTGTCAGCACTGACTGTACAGTGCTGCCACACACAGAAAAAATCGATCACTCATTCCATCAGCTGCTGGTATTGTGAAACCGAAACCGAGCACCGAGCTAAAACAGAGCACAGTCAGTTCAGAGGTTACGACT